GGCATGTGGATCTTCAGGGTGAAACGGCCGCCGGGTTCTCCGCCTGTCTTCAAGGCGCGTTACGTGGCTCGTGGCTTCAGTCAGCGGCAGGGAGTTGACTACTTTCAGACCTTCTCTCCCACCCCGAAGATGACCACTTTTCGGGTACTGCTGCACGTTGCTGCTCACCGTGACTACGAGCTGCACTCTCTCGACTTCAGCACTGCTTTCTTGCAGGGCAGCCTGCACGAGGAGATATGGCTGCGTCGCCCACCTTGCTTCACTGGGTCTTTCCCTCCTGGTACCCAGTGGAGTCTCCGGCGTCCAGTCTACGGTCTTCGCCAGGCGCCACGTTAGTGGCACGACACACTGAGGACTACGCTTGCGGCTCTTGGGTTCGCTCCTTCTACTGCCGACCCGTCGCTGTTTCTGCGCACCGACACTTCTCTGCCGCCGTTCTACATCCTCGTGTACGTCGACGACTTGGTCTTTGCCACAGCTGACACTGCTAGACTCGCCTACGTGAAGTCCGAGCTGCAGAAGAGACACACGTGCACTGACCTGGGTGAACTGCGCAGCTACCTTGGTTTGCAGATCACCCGGGACAGAGCACGCCGCACCATTACCCTGACTCAGTCACACATGGTGCAGCAGGTCCTTCAGCGCTTCGGCTTCACGTACTCCTCGCCTCAGGCCACTCCTCTGCCTACTCGCCACTCGCTCTCAGCTCTGCCTTCGGATGAGTCCGTAGAGTCGAGTGGTCCGTATGCAGAGCTTGTTGGCTGCCTCATGTACCTGATGACCTGCACACGACCTGACCTTGCATACCCTCTGAGCATTCTCGCACGATATGTTGCTCCTGGGAGACACCGACCAGAGCACATGGCTGCAGCGAAGAGGGTGTTGCGCTACTTGTGCAGTACGTTGGGCATGGGGCTAGTGCTTGGAGGGCGGAGTCCAGTGGTCCTCACTGGGCACGCGGACGCTTCTTGGGCTGACGACCAGGCTACGCAGCGGTCGTCACAGGGTTACACCTTCAGCCTTGGTTCCGGCTCTGTTTCGTGGCGGGCTACCCGCTCGTCTTCTGTTCTCGGCTCCAGTTGTGAGGCTGAGATCTACGCCGGGGCTATGGCTGCTCAGGAGCTTCGCTGGCTCACCTACCCTGCTGACCGACCTTGGAGAGCCGCCTCGTTCTCCTCCAGTCCTGTACGTAGACAACAAGGCCATGCTGGCCTTGTGTTGAGAGCAGCGACTGGAGCACAGGACAAAGCACATTGCTCTCCGCTACTTTCTTGCTCGTGAGCTACAGCAGCGTGGACAGTTGCGACTTGCGTACGTGGCCTCTGAGGCCAACACTGCTGATGTCTTCACCAAGGCACTTGCGCCTTGTGATCATCAGCGTTGCTGCACGCAGCTGGGTCTTGTGCGTGTCTTGCCTCACTTGCTCACTTCTTGACCTTGCTTGTACCTTGACCTATATATACTCTTGTTCTTGCTTGCTTGACTCTTGTATATCTCTATACATGCTCTTGCATGTGAACTGGCCTTGTGGCCCTTGACTTGTGCTCGGAATGTGTGGTGACTTTGTGATCCACCCTGAGCTTTGCTTTGCTTTGCTTGACTGGTCTTGTGACCCCTTGTTCTCCCCCACTTTGCCTATGGGGGTGTGTCAGAATATTATAGCTCACTTATTTGTGTAGGCTATAGTGGGGTATCCCATAGGGGGTACAGCCCAACTAGGGTTTCCTATTTGTACTCACTTTGTTCATAGTCATTCATTCTTGTTCTAACTTTCTCATCGAGTGGCGGCGTTGATAAAGGTGATCGTGTAGTTGTAAGTAACTTGTCCTGGTTCTCGATTAAAGAGAATATCGCTGTACACCTTCTCGAGTGGTGCGTATGCAGGTGCGCTCGGGTGTGTGGTGAGAAGAAAACGGTCGATGGGGTAAGTCGGCTTTGGGGCAGATGAGGCAAGTTCCTCGTGCCGTTGAAGTTCTCTGCCGTCGGGTAGTAGTAGCGAATCTTTGTCGAGGACTCCTGCTCGTATTGTGTTATTTAATACTGTGTTGCTTGGATGTCCTGTGCGTGCGTGCCAGATGTCTTCAGGAGCGCGATGTCCGGGTGAGCGTTGATACGCGTCGAGTTGGAGTAGAAGCTGGCGACGACATTGGCGCTTCTGTGGAGTTCTCGTTGAGTCGGGTTCAGTTGCTGTGCGGTGTTGGTGGTGCTTCGTGGACGATGACTGGTGTCGTTGGTCCTGCTGCTGCCGATGATGTTTCTGCTGCTGTCGATGTTGTCTCTGCTGCTGCCGATGTTGTCTCTGCTGCTGCCGATGTTGTCTGTGCTGCTGTCGATGTTGTCTCTGCTATACTGCCGTTTGTTGAATTGTTTCTAACGCTCGTGTTCGTTCTGCTTTAGGGATGGTGTGCGAGTACCAGAAACCTCCCGGGCTGAAGTCGGGATCAAGATCCAGGGATGTGTCCAATCGGCGAAAGTTGACGATGGCGTCGCTATCTGCAGTGCCAAGGTCGGGGACGAAATCGAGGACGAAGACATTGTTCTTCAAAACTGCTCTTCCGATGTAGAGGCCGCCCTTACCCGTGGTACAGTTTAAACTCCTGGGTGGTGCTGTCGGCTTCCAAGTGGATGCCTTTCGCCTTCAGCTGGCTGACACTGCAGTAAGTTATAACCGAGTCCTTCTGCGATGAGTACCTTTGACATGTGCAGTATGACGTTTGTCTCTCTTGATTGAAGTTGAACTACTCCTTGTCGTCGTGTGCACAGGTTCTGGTTGTTGGCGACCGTGATGACTACTTCTCGCTGGAGTCGATGTTCGCGTTGAACGAAGCGTCCCGAGGAGCACATATGTTGTCCGCAGCAACTGTCCAAGAACCAGGTGTCTTGCCCTGACGGTTCGCTTTGAGCGATGGCGGCGTACGTCGGATTCGGTTGGAGTGACTCGCGGCGAGGCGTCCTGTTGTCGAGCTCTTCTTCTGGTGAGTAGTGAGGTGGTGACTCGATGATACAGGAATCTGTTATCTTTGGCATACAGTTGAAAATGTTTCTTGCTCCTTGTGCAGGTTGTCCTGTTGGAGTCGTTGAGGCTTGAATCTTTGTCGTGGGATTTACTTGCGTTGAAGTGACTTGGGAGCTTGAAGGCCGAAGTTGTCGCTGTGATGTTGTCGATTGCTGACGATGCGGGCAGTGCGTACGAGGATGCCCTGAAGTCTTGCAGATGTGGCAAAACGGAGGTACTGGCTTCAATTGTTGTTGCTGCCGATTGTTGTTGTTGTTGTAGCGTCACTGGGTGTGAAACGCGAACTCTGGTACTGACGTTTTCTTCTTATGTCGTTCTTCTTGCAGGTCCATGTCCTGCTGCTCGGCATGTATTTCGGCGCAGAGTGCCGCTTCGAAAATCCTCCCGTGTGCTCGTAATATGGCGCGAGTGGAGCGCCAGTGGGGGCCGAGACCGCCGATGACCACCGTGACAAAGGCGTCTTCTGAAATCGACCCTCCGCATCGAAGAAGCTTGTCGCGTAGTTCGCGGCAGCGGCTGATATAAGCCATGCCTTTCTCGCCTGGTTTCATTTCAATTGTTGTCAACTGCGCCATTAACCTGCTTTGATTTACGCTGTCTGTTGCTTGATACAGGTTCTTCAGGTGGTTGTACGCGAGCTCCGCGGAGTTGCCGTAGCCTCGGTAAGTCCTGATGTTCTGCTGCTGGGTCGGGGTGATGTTTCTTAGCAGTATCGTGTACGCCATCATTGATTGATAGGTGTACTGCTGCTTCTCATATTGTGTCCCGTTTGTTGGATATGGGCAGGGACCCGTCGAAGAAGCTGAGAATCTGTGCTCCTTCCATCATCAGTTTCGAACTCGAACGACCAGGTGAAGAAGTCTTTTCCGTCGAAGGGCTTTGTCGTTTGCAGCTTGAGAACATGCGCGAATTGCGATTGAACTTGTAATGCGTCCAATGCCCTTTCTTGTCCCGGTGCAGATTGCGGTTGCGGCATGAAGCTGACGGAGCCACGCTGGGGCTCGTACGGCGCAAAGGTAGGCTGCTGTTGTTGTTGTTGAATTCCGCGTGCGTAGGATGAGCCGTCGAGACTCATAGGAGTTACGTTGTTGTTGTTGCTGTTGTTTGACTGCGCAGGTACTCCTTGCTGGTGCTGCTCGTAGAAGGACATGAAGGAGAAGAATTTCTCCATCATGCTTGGATCGAAGCCTGCGGGCGTTTCCGTAGACCCAGCTGCTGGTCTCGTGGTAGTCCCTTCTTCCGTCTGTAGACCAGAGACAGGAGGTGGAGTAGGGGTAGTGCCTGGAGAACCGTTGGAGGAGCTCCTCTCCTTCCTAGTAGACATGTCTTCCTTGTATTAAGTATTAAGAGAAAAAGTAACTTTGAACTCTATCTGTTCTCATACCATGTTGGGCTGAGATGCCTTAGGATCTTTGTAGAGTTAAAGTCTGAGTAGGATTGTAATAGCGGAAGCGTTTGAATAAAGTCCTTGAACCACCTTGCGCTAGTATGTGAGGGCAAAGTAAGTTGCTTAAAACAAGCAAATACAAGGCTTTATATAAGAGTACAAGGAATACGAATAGATATAATTAAACTGTTTTGCTGTTGCGATTCGATACAGTGCGACTCGGGCAACTGCTCAATGTCGAGTCCAGTTGTGTGTCCTTGCTGTCGCGCTGTATTTTGTCAAGTCAAAGGTCGCTGACTTTTGACCTTCGCGTAACCTCCAGGCGGTTACCCTAACCTCCGAGGGTTGACTCGCGATGCTTCGATTTGGACTGCTTCGCTTGTGTCCTGAGTTTCGACACGACAGAGGCGCTTTAAGACTTATTGTTCCCAACAGTTTCGAGCTAGTTTGTGAAACCCTCACATCACACTCATCACAAAAAAAGGTGAGTTGTTCTTCTATGAAAAAGGTTACAGCTTACGTCATTTCCACACACGTTTTGAAATCGCTTCAAATCAAGTGCCATCCATCCCATCAAGTCGCGAAATTCGAGGCGAAATGACCAGAGCGTTTTCCCATGACACTAGCGTCTGCTGCCTGTCACTGGTCACGTCATATTCTAGGGACGATCGTCTCACCGCCTGCTTGCACGCGTGTCGGAACCGCCACCTGCCAGGCTCTCATTCGCTGCCTGGCCTGCTCCACCGGTTTGGATACGCCGCCATCGCGATGGCTCAAACCGCTCTTATGCTCCTCCCGCGTCGCCGTTCGCAGGCCACTGCCCACACGGCAGCAGATATTGTGGCAGAGACAGCCGATATCATTGTTTCGCTGACGCCAAGTTGCTGCTTTCCTCATTTCTTCTCCGTTCCAGCACCACTCGTTCCCCTCTCCTCCCTTCTCTCGCTCGCACCACGCTCGTGCCGCATGCGGCGTGGCCTAGTCGCATCGGTCGCGCGCCAACGACATGTCGCCCGACAGTCCCCCGTCCACATCCGCCCTCTGCCGCCCGCTTCGTGCCATCGAAGATGGCGGGCACGAGAGTGAGGGGGCAGGCGGGCGGCGCGCGGGCGAGCGGCGGTGGCGGTGGCGCGCGCGATGGCGCGAGGCGGCGGTGGCGGGGGCGCGGCCGCAGGAGCGATGGGGGCACTCCGCCGTGGCGTGGGATGGCAAGCTGATCGTGTTCGGGGTGAGCGGAGGCACGCGGGCGAGTGGAGGTGAGAAGCCGTGCTGCAGTGGCAGTGGAGAGTTTGCCGTGGCAGCATGTGTTGCCGCCGCTGCGTGCGTTGAGGTGTGCGCGCTGACGTGCAGGGCGTAGGTCCGTCCGGGTGAGACGGGTAGGCTTGAGTGAAAGGGGTTTCGGTGGCCCAAAGTGAGAGTGAGGGAGGGATGGGTGGTAGCGTGGCGACGATGCGCAGTTGACGCCACACCCATGCCGTGTGGACCTGCTGCTTCCGTTCCGTGCGCCCAACGCACCCTCCCAATCTCTATCCTTCTAAGGCCCCTCCCTTCTCGCCCCTCCCCTGCGCGCGCCTGCAGGGCTGTTTCGGAGCGCAGCACTTCTCCACCGTGCTGTCGCTCGACCTCACCACGCTCGCCTGGGCGCCCCTGTCGGCGCACGGCCATCTGCCGCCGCCCTGCGACTGCCACTCCGCCTCGCTGCTCTCCCGCGGCCGCATGCTCGTCTTCGGCGGCACCGACGGCCGCCGCCGCCTCGCCGCCACGCACCTGCTGCACCTGCCCTCCAAGCGGTGGCAACGCGTGGGGGGAGGGGCGGCAGGGGAGAGGAGTGCGCGCTGTGTGCTGGGTGGGAGTGTGAGTGAGGTGGGTGGTGCGATCGAGGAGGGGGGAGTGGAGAGGAGTGAGGTGCGAGAAGGCGGCGAGAGAGGGCAGCAGGGGGCTGGGGAGGTGGAGAGTGGTGTGAGCTGCGTGGACGAGGCGGGGGTGACAGCGAGGCAGGGGGGGGAGGGGGGCAGAGGGAAGGAGGCGGCAGGTGGAGAGGCGGGGCAGCGACGGGTCGCACGTGTCGAGCAGCAGCGTGGTGGTGCGGCACGGAGGTGAAGGGGAGGGGGGCGAGGGGCTGGTGTGGGGCACGAGGCAGGGCAGTGGCGGCGACACGGACATGCATGGCAGCAGCCTGGGCACACCTTGCGGGCGGGTGGGTCCCGTGCAGCCTGGCTCGTGGCATGATCCGAGCGCGCTTGCTGCTGCGCACCCCCCTGCCAGGGAGAGCCACGCGGCAGCGGTTGTGTGGCTGCCACGGTGTAAGAGGGTGGAGGAGGAAAGGAGGAGGGGATGCGGTGGAGTGGCGAGAGACTGTGCTGGTGTTTGGCGGCAGTGGGGATGAGGAGGGCGGCGATGGTGCGGATGGTAAGGAAGGCATGGACGGGTGGAGGGGAGGGGAGCAGAGAGACGGGGGAGGAGAGGGAGGCAGCATGAGCGAGGGGGGGCGGCAAGGGGCGGTACCTGAACGACCTGTGGGCGCTGGACGTGCCCTCCATGACGTGGCGCTGCCTCCATGCACCGCACTCACTGCCGCCCGCCACCCGCGTGCCACGTGGCAAGGCAGGGGAGTGCCCCCCCTGTGCGCGCGACAGCCACAGCATGGTGGTGATGGGCGGGGCGCACGAGCAGCAGGTGGCGGTGGTGTTCGGCGGCGACTGTGGCGCGCGCTACCCTCGGCGACCTGCACCTGCTGCACGTCCACCACCTCTCCTGGTGCCACGTGCGTACCCATTGGGCAACGGGTGTGAGGGGGTGTGCTGTGAGGGGGTGTGCTGTGGGGTGGGGGGGTGTGCTGTGGGGGTGGGGGGGTGTGCTGTGAGAGGTTACCCGTGGAGCATATCAGTGGTGGGGTGGGGGTGGTATACGTGGGGGTAGCTGTGGGCCGGAGGAATAAAGGCGGAGATTGAGGGGTTAGTATGAGGAGAGTTCTGCTGATGCTCTGCTTACTATTTTGGACTTCATTCTATTCTCCAAACGCCCGCACAAACACCCCCAACACCTTTCTCTCTTCCCCCACCTTCTATGCACTCCCTCCCCCGCATGCACTCCCTCCCCCGCATGCACTCCCTCCCCCGCATGCACTCTCTCCCTTGCAGATACCAGCACCGGCGGGAGCGCAGTGGCCGGCGCCACGGGCAGCCCACAGTGCGGTGGCCGTCACAGCCTGGCAGGTGGGTACGGTGTGTTGTGGGCAACAAGTGGCACATACGCTAGCCACACACGCTTCTTGCCCATCCACTGCGCCACATGTGGCATGCGCCAGCCCAAGCGGGTGAGGCCGCCATGAACCGTACCATGACGAGTCCACCCAACCCAAGCATCCCTACTTATCTCTCCTCTCCTCTTCTCTTCTCTCCGCTTCTCTTCTCTCCTCTTTTCTTCTCTCCTCTTCTCTTCTCCCCCACCTTGCATGTCCCCCACCTTGCATGTCCCCCACCTTGCATGTCCCCCACCTTGCATGTCCCCCACCTTGCATGTCCCCCACCTTGCATGTCCCCCACCTTGCATGTCCCCCACCTTGCATGTCCCCCACCTTGCATGTCCCCCACCTTGCATGTCCCCCACCTTGCATGTCCCCCACCTTGCATGTCCCCCACCTTGCATGTCCCCCACCTTGCAATGTCCCCCACCTTGCATGTCCCCCACCTTGCATGTCCCCCACCTTGCATGTCCCCCACCTTGCATGTCCCCCACCTTGCATGTCCCCCACCTTGCATGTCCCCCACCTTGCATGTCCCCCACCTTGCATGTCCCCCACCTTGCATGTCCCCCACCTTGCATGTCCCCCACCTTGCATGTCCCCCACCTTGCATGTCCCCCACCTTGCATGTCCCCCACCTTGCATGTCCCCCACCTTGCATGTCCCCCACCTTGCATGTCCCCACCTTGCATGTCCCCACCTTGCATGTCCCCCACCTTGCATGTCCCCCACCTTGCATGTCCCCCACCTTGCATGTCCCCCACCTTGCATGTCCCCCACCTTGCATGTCCCCCACCTTGCATGTCCCCCACCTTGCATGTCCCCCACCTTGCATGTCCCCCACCTTGCATGTCCCCACCTTGCATGTCCCCCACCTTGCATGTCCCCCACCTTGCATGTCCCCCACCTTGCATGTCCCCCACCTTGCATGTCCCCCACCTTGCATGTCCCCCACCTTGCATGTCCCCCACCTTGCATGTCCCCCACCTTGCATGTCCCCCACCTTGCATGTCCCCCACCTTGCATGTCCCCCACCTTGCATGTCCCCCACCTTGCATGTCCCCCACCTTGCATGTCCCCCACCTTGCATGTCCCCCACCTTGCATGTCCCCCACCTTGCATGTCCCCCACCTTGCATGTCCCCCACCTTGCATGTCCCCCACCTTGCATGTCCCCTGTCTCTCCCTTCCGTCCGCCTCTCCTCTGCCCGTGCAGATGCTGCTGCTGGGAGGGGTGGGCGACGGTGGCTACTTCAGTGACACGTGGCTCTTTGACCTGCCCTCTGCCACGTGGCACCAGCTGCATCCACCAATAACAGCCGGTCCTGCCATGCTGGCATCGGACAATTCGATGGTGGAGCACCTGGAAGCAGAGGAAGCGTCGGCAGCAGCAGCGGAGGCATGGGCTGCGGGGGAGGAGGACGGGCAGCAGCTGCGGGCGTGCTTCTCCCACTCGGCCACCCTGCTGCCCGACGGCTGCACCGTCGCACTCTTTGGCGGGTAAGCTGGACGCGGGGCGGAGGGGAGTGGGGAAGGGGGGAGGGGGGAGGAGGAAGGGGGGGAGGGGGAAGGGGGAAGGGGGGGATTGGGGAGAAGCAGGGAATGGAAAGTAGGGAGGAAATTGATGGAGTGCTGTGCTCACTGTGATCTTCTTGCCTTCACACTCCATGCCCGTTCCCGCCTCCCACCCTCCCCACGCCCATCCTCTCCTCTCATCCTTCCCATGCCTGCGCTGTGCTCTCATCCTTCCCATGCCTGCGCTGTGCTCTCATCCTTCCCATGCCTGCGCTGTGCTCTCCCCGCAGCTGTGGGCGCGACGAGCAGCCGTGCAGCGACGTCATGCTGCTGCACCTGCAATGCCCTGTGAGCACCCACCCTCGCCTGCACCTGCAATGCCCTGTGAGCACCCACCCTCGCCTGCACCTGCAATGCCCTGTGAGCACCCACCCTTGCCTGCACCTGCAATGCCCTGTGAGCACCCACCCTCGCCTGCACCTGCAATGCCCTGTGAGCACCCACCCTCGCCTGCACCTGCAATGCCCTGTGAGCACCCACCCTCGCCTGCACCTGCAATGCCCTGTGAGCACCCACCCTTGCCTGCACCTGCAATGCCCTGTGAGCACCCACCCTCGCCTGCACCTGCAATGCCCTGTGAGCACCCACCCTTGCCTGCACCTGCAATGCATGGCATGGCATGTGTGAGGTGACCATTTCAACCCAGGCATGCCCTCCTGCATTGCCGTCTGCCATCTCACCACAGGGTGCACGTTTCTTCATTTCTCCTCCACATTCTCTCATCCTCCCTACTGCATCCTCCTCTCCCCACCCTCTACCCTCTACCATGCATTCCCCATCCTCCTCCCTCCTCGCTTTCCACTCCTTTCCCCCTCCCCGCCACCCCGCCAGGCCGCCAGTCCTTCCCCTCGCTGTGCGCGCCCCCTCTCCTCCGCCTCTCTGCCCGCCCCTGCTGCTGCGCGCACGGGGCGCGAGGAGGAAAAGGGCAACGGAGCAGGGGCGGTGGAGCAAGGAGACAGAGCTGTGGGCGTGGAAGAGCAGGGGGGGATGGCAGAGGGGAGGTGGCGGGAGGGAGGAGAGGCGATGGAGTGGAGGGCGGTGTGGGAGGGAGGAGGGGAGGAGGAGGCGGAGGTGGGCAGGCAGCGGATAGGCGAAGACAGGAGCTTTCTTGACGAGCTGGCGGGCATTCTCAACGACGGTGAGCGGTCTCCGTGGGGAGGGGTTGGTACGAGGAAGTCAGTATGGGTGGATGGATGTGTCTTGCCTCACATTATGAGGCGCCTCAAAAGGATGGATGTGTGTTGCCTCACATTATGAGGCGCCTCAAAAGGATGGATGTGTGTTGCCTCACATTATGAGGCGCCTCAAAAGGATGGATGTGTGTTGCCTCACATTATGAGGCGCCTCAAAAGGATGGATGTGTGTTGCCTCACATTATGAGGCGCCTCAAAAGGATGGATGTGTGTTGCCTCACATTATGAGGCGCCTCAAAAGGATGGATGTGTGTTGCCTCACATTATGAGGCGCCTCAAAAGGATGGATGTGTGTTGCCTCACATTATGAGGCGCCTCAAAAGGATGGATGTGTGTTGCCTCACATTATGAGGCGCCTCAAAAGGATGGATGTGTGTTGCCTCACATTATGAGGCGCCTCAAAAGGATGGATGTGTGTTGCCTCACATTATGAGGCGCCTCAAAAGGATGGATGTGTGTTGCCTCACATTATGAGGCGCCTCAAAAGGATGGATGTGTGTTGCCTCACATTATTGTCATGGATGTGCACGTGTCGTGTGTCCAAGTCTGTGCTGCTTCATTCATCAGCACTTGCTTTCCATCGCTTGCCCACTTAGTACTTACGTTCAGCTGAAAGCCTTCACAAAGCCAAGCCGCACACATCCTCTTGTGTTGTCATTCCCAGGTTTCCCACTTGGGCATTTCGAGTCGTACCGCTGCAGGCAGATGACTTGACTTGACAGCACCTTGTGCACTCGCAGCGCCTGCTGTCGCATCTGTCCTCGCATGTGTCCGCCCGCCATCACCAGGCTCTCCGTCTCCCATCCATGAAACCCATCCGCCCATCCATGTAATGAAACCCATCCGGCTATCCATGAAACCCATCCGCCCATCCATGGAACCCATCCGCCCATCCATGGAACCCATCCGCCCATCCATGGAACCCATCCGCCCATCCATGGAACCCATCCGCCCATCCATGGAACCCATCCGCCCATCCATGAAACCCATCCGCCCTCACTCACCCCTGCTCCTTTCATCTCTCCCCCCAACCCCACCCATCCTCTCCTGTTACGCTTCCTAACCTCCCGCCTTCAGATGCGCCCTGCACGTCACATCCAGCAGCCACCATCCGCGGTACCTCCCTTCTGCACCTGATTCCTGCCTCCATCTCAAGGGGTGGGCAGAGCATCGACCAAGCAGCACAAGCGCGAGGTGCAGCAGCAGAGAGGGGGCAGCAGGGAAGGGCGAGGGGGCGGCCGCGGCGCTACGTGGTGTCGGAGGCGGGCGAGCGCATGGTGAGCGCAGCACTGCAAGCCCGGCACGCCGGCGGAGGAGGGGAGGTGGACGGGGGTGAAGCGAAGAGAACAGGCAGTACGGTGGTAGACAGTCCTGGTACGGATGGGGATGGTGGTGAAGAGGAGGGGGCAGCGGAGGCAGACATGGGAAGAGAAGGTGCAGGCACAATAGGTGGCGCCACCTTGAGTGGTGGCAGTCGGCCCAAGCTGCAGCCGAAACGAGCAGCCAGTGGAGGCATGGCGCGGGGCAGTGAGGTGCGCGGGATGAGCGCGGCGGCAGGGAGGGGCGCGGTGGAGTTGTCACCATTCCACCATGACATGGCGCATGGAACTCTGCCCGCTGCCTGTCCTTCTGCTGCTGCTCACGAGGGGCATGTGTCGCTGCCTGCATGGCAGCAGCCGTGTGGCATGACATGGCAGCAAGGGAATGTTCTTGGTGCTGCAGATGCCGCTGCTGTCATTCCTGCCACTCTCCCTCTCTCCATGCTGCCTGCCCTCCAAGCCACACCCTCCTCTGCCCCGCAGCAGCCCCGTGTGTCAGAGGCCGCCCCTCCCAGGCAGCACCTCGCCGTGCCGTCGTCCCTGGCAGCGCGGCCCCTCATTGCGCTGCACGCCCGCCCCGTGGGCCATGCCCAATCGCACAGCGCAGCAAAGCATCCCAGGGGAGGGGAGGGGGCGAGGGGGGATGGCAGGGGTGAGGCATGCAAGGGTGGTGGGGAGGGAGGCGGAGGTGGCGGGGAGGCGATGGAGGCGGGGATGGGAGGGGGGGGTGGCGGGGTGCAGGGCGGAGAGGGCGGCACTGCCCACGCGCACCTGCTGCACCTCGGCATCGGCCGTGTCGTGCGCTGCCCTGTGAGCCTCTGCCTGCCCTGTGAGCCTCTGCCTGCCCTGTGAGCCTCTGCCTGCCCTGTGAGCCTCTGCCTGCCCTGTGAGCCTCTGCCTGCCCTGTGAGCCTCTGCCTGCCCTGTGAGCCTCTGCCTGCCCTGTGAGCCTCTGCCTGCCCTTGCGTTCCACTCAATGGCGTGGCCGTTGGATGGATGGCAGATAGTGCACCTCCACCATCCCATGGCAGATAGTGCACCTCCACCATCCCATGGCAGATAGTGCACCTCCACCATCCCATGGCAGATAGTGCACCTCCACCATCCCATGGCAGATAGTGCACCTCCACCATCCCATGGCAGATAGTGCACCTCCACCATCCATGGCAGATAGTGCACCTCCACCATCCCATGGCAGATAGTGCACCTCCACCATCCCATGGCAGATAGTGCACCTCCACCATCCCACTCGCTCCTGTGCTGCCCTCCTGTGCTCACGGCCTTCCACCACTGCCACTTGCCCTGTCCTCTCCTCTGCTGTGCTGGCCAGCCCGGGGCATCACTGGCAGTGCGCGTGGACGGGGTGTTTGACGGCGGTGTCACGCTCGCAGCGCAAGTCGGCGCCCACACGCTCTCCGGTGTGCTGCTCGCCCCGCCTGCTGTGAGTCCCACTGCCCCCCCCTGCTGTGAGTCCCACTGCCCCCCCTGCTGTGAGTCCCACTGCCCCCCCTGCTGTGAGTCCCACTGCCCCCCTGCTGTGAGTCCCACTGCCCCACCTGCTGTGAGTCCCACTGCCCCCCCTGCTGTGAGTCCCACTGCCCCCCCTGCTGTGAGTCCCACTGCCCCCCCTGCTGTGAGTCCCACTGCCCCCCCCTGCTGTGAGTCCCACTGCCCCCCCTGCTGTGAGTCCCACTGCCCTTTCCGGGCTGGCCTGCCAGCCATGGCCGCCAGTGCAGGCAGCTCACCGTCACCACCATGCCCCACCACACCACACAGCATGCATGTATCCACCTCATGAGGTGCACCGCCATCCCATCTAATCCCACATTTTCACATCTCTTTGGCCTCACATGTCCTTGCTTACGCTGCTTACTCCACACTCCCCTGCCCCACCTGCACCGCACACCCAAGCCTTCCTTACGTCCTCTCCCCGCCCTCTGCCTGCAGCTGAGGTCCATCCTCCTCGCCCCGCCTCGCCACTCGTCCACTTCTCCTCCTCGCTCCACCGCCACACCGCCACCGCCCTCTCTGGCACGCCCTTCGTCCGCATTTCTGCTGCCCTCCCTCCCTGCTTCCAATGGGTGTCTGACACCTGGCGGTACCTCAGCCCCAGGCACTGACCCTGGTGGCGGCAGTGGCGATGGCTCCCTGCTACCATCAGCAGTGGCAGCAGCAGCAGCTTCATGCAGTGTGTCGGCCCATTCCACCCCGCAAGCCGCATCGGCTGACGCACACTCCGAGCAGCCTGGTGGTGGCGGGGGGAGGAAGCGGCAGGGCGCGGCCGGTAGAGGCGGAGGGAGGGGGCGGGGGAGGCATGGGGGCCGGGGGAAGAGGGCGAAGCACAGTGGGGGTGAGGCGGGGGCAGGCGAGGCGGGTATGGCGAAGGCAGGTGGGGAGGCAATGCGGAGCAAATCAAAAGCCAGGACAAGGAAGGGGCAGATGGGGGGAGAGGGCAGGTGGGCAGGGGGAGGCGTGAGGGAAGGGGATAGAGGGGAGGAGATAGTAAAGCAGGGGGCAATGGGGGAAGTGTGCGGGGAGGTGAGGGCGTGGGAGGCAGGAGAGGAGCGTCAAGGCATGGAGGTGGTGAGAGGGGGAGAGGCGGGGGGAGGAGAGGGGAAAGATGGCATGCAAGGTGGTGAGTGGAAGCGAGCGCGCGAGCACCCTGAAAGGTGGGAGACACGTGTTGGGCAAGGGGCACAGCCGTCTCGCATGCAGCAGCAGCAGCAGGATTCTGCGTCTGTTCGTGAGGCTGCTTGGGCCCATCCCAATGCTGCACTGCAGCCGTCACCCTCTCTCATGCCCGTGCCATCCCACCCCACTTTCATGCTGCCCCCACGGCCCTTGTCAAGCAGTGTGGCTCGGTACGGCTGCGAGATGCAAGGGGACAGCGCAGAGCAGCAGCGGGCAGCAGGGAACGTGAGTGTGCTTGCAGGATATGCTGTGACACACGGAGGAGGAGGAGGAGGAGGAGGAGGAGGAGGAGGAGGAGGAGGAGGAGGAGGAGGAGGAGGAGGAGGAGGAGGAGGAGGAGGAGGAGGAGGAGGAGGAAGAGTGGGGCCAAGTGGGGAGAGCATGAACAAAGGGGAGGGCATGAAGGAAGGCGAGTGGGATGAGGAGGTGGTGCAATGGCATGCAGACATGCATGTTAGCATGCATGGTGACGGTCATCCGCAGTGGCATACTGAGAAGGAAGGAGGGAATTTTGGAGGAGGGCAGGGGGGCAACGGCATGAAAGCAGCCGGTCGTGCTAGCGTGCACGCTGCCATGGAGGCGGAGCCTGAGGCTGCGGCTGCAGCTGAGGCCGCACATGCTCGGCACGGCTCTCATGGCCTCCACACCCCGTGCACTGCGCATGCCAGTCAGCGCCCTCTTGCCGCTCACGACCACCCGTGGCAGTGCCGACCTTGTGGCTCACGGCATGTGCGGCATGGAGCAGTGGATGGCAGAGCTGCAGGGCACACCGGGGCATGGCGAGGGGCATGGCGAGGGGCATGGCGAGGGGCATGGCGAGGGGCATGGCGAGGGACATGGCGAGGGCATGGCCGCGGCATGGCGAGGGGCATGGCGAGGGGCATGGCGAGGGGCATGGCGAGGGGCACAGAGGAGAGCAGGTGACAGGAGGGGCGCAGCATCCTCCGGCTGCGGCTGGTGGCAACGCTGGCAGCTCGCTGCCCAGCCTGGCGGCGCACCCACCCTCTCATGGCCACCTGTCACCGGGATTGCATGAGTGGGGCGACTGCACAGGTGGCAGCGGCAGTGGCAGTGGCAGTGGCGAGTGGCAGCTGATTGCGTCGCCTCCCTCCCCCCTCCACCTCATCGGCCTGGACTCCTCCCTCCACTCGCCCTCGCTCCACCCTCACTCACACGTCGCCTCTCACACGTCCCCCTCCACCCCTCCCTCACTGCATCTGCCCCCCCTGTCCCTGCCACCGCTCCTGCTGCCGCCCCTCCACCTGCCCGCCCTGCCCTCATGCGACCACGTGGGGTCGTCCCCCGCGCCCCCCACGCCCCACGGCAGCCGCCTCTCCCACTGCAGCACACCCGCCCAGCACACAGAGGCAGGCATGGGTGGGGCGCAGGGTCAACGGGAGGCTGGGGAAGGTGCAAGTGGAGTTGCACTGAGCAATGGAGATGGGAGGGGTGTGCTTGACGGTGAATGGAGATGGGAGGGGTGTGCTTGACGGTGAATGGAGATGGGAGGGGTGTGCTTGACGGTGAATGGAGATGGGAGGGGTGTGCTTGACGGTGAATGGAGATGGGAGGGGTGTGCTTGACGGTGAATGGAGATGGGAGGGGTGTGCTTGATGGTGAATGGAGATGGGAGGGGTGTGCTTGATGGTGAATGGAGATGGGAGGGGTGTGCTTGACGGTGCTCTCAAGGATGGCAAGCCGGGGTTGAATGGAGGCCAGAACCATCATCTAGAGCTCATTAGGTTCTCTCCATTACATTGGTGAAGTTAATGCGCCCAAGCTTATAGAGAATGGCTGTTATTGTCAACGTCAGGCCCCTAGATTGGTCTTGGGGTAGGCTGGAAAATCAGAGTTCACTGGCAAATGTATGCTAAAAATCAGCCAAAAATGACATTTTTCACTAAAAACCATTAGAAAATCACCAAGCTTTTGGGAAAAGGCTAAAAAATCAGCCTTTGTACAACCACCTGAAGAACCTGTATCAAGCAACAGACAGCGTCAATCAAAGTCGGTTAATGGCGCAACTGACAACAGTCGAAATGAAACCAGGCGAAAAGGGGATGGCGTATATCAGCCGCTGTCGCGAACTGCACGACAAACTCCTTCGATGCGGAGGGTCGATTTCATAAGACGCCTTCGTCACAGTCATCATCGGCGGCCTTGGTCCTCAGTGGCGCTCCACTCGCGCCATACTTCGAGTTCACGGAAAAATATCAGAAGCAACACTCTGCGCCAAGATCCACGCTGAGCAGCAAGATATGGACTTGCAAGAAGAACGACACAAGAGGAAGGCATTAGTGCCCGAATTCGCATTCCACACTCAACGGCGCTACAACAACAACAATCGGCACCAACCGAAACCAGTACCTCCGTTCTGTCACCTTTGTAAGACGTGAGGTCACCCCCGTACACACTGCCCAAACCGGCAGTAGTCAACGCCAACGCAGCGGCCGCTTCGCCCTTCAAGCAGTCAAGTTGCCTCAACACAAGCAAATCCGACCACTGCAGTACAAGCCTCAACAACATCGACGGGACAACCTGCGCAAGGAACAAGAAACATCGTCAGTTGCATGGCACGGCTAACCGACTCCTGCATCACAAAGTCACCTCCGCATTACTCACCGGAAGAGCAACTCGACAACAGCACGCCTCACCACGAGTCACTTCAACCAAATCCAACGTATGCAGCCATCGCTCAAAGCGAGCCGTCCGAGAAAGATACGTGGTTCTTGGACAGTTGCTGCGGACAGCACATGTGCTCTTCAGGACGATTTGTTCAGCGTGAACACCAACTTCAACGCGAAGTCGTCATCACCGTCGCCAACAACCAGAATCAGCGCACACGACGACAAGGTGTGGTGCAACTTCAGTCACGAGAGACAAACGTGATGCTGCAAATGTCAAAAGTATTTATTGCGGAGGGATTCGACTACAACTTACTGAGTGTCAGTCAACTGATGGCGAAAGGCATCCACCTCGAAGCAGATAGCACAACACAGGAATTCAAGTTGTACCACGGGAGAGGAGGTCTCTACATCGGCAAGGCAGTCCTGAAGAATAACGTCTTCGTCCTCGACTTTGTCCCAGATCTTGGCATCGCTGACAGCGACGGGATTGTCACCTTCACCTCCTGGACACATCCACCGGATCTCGACCCCAACTTCAGTCCCGAAGGCTTCTGGTACTCACACACCATTCCCGAGGAAGAACGAACAAGAGCATTAGCAACGATTCAACACTCGGCAGCAGCAGAGACAACACCGGCAGCAGCAGAGACAACATTGGCAGCAGCAGAGACAACATCGGCAGCAGCAGAAACAACGGCAGCAGCAGCGGCAACATCGACACCAATCGCTGGTCCTTCAACTGCACCGGCTCCAATCGTCGACGACACTCCACCGACTCCTGCGCAGCAACAGAACCCAACACCACGAGAAGTACATCGAAGCGCAAACTTCACCGCTAGCTTCTACTCCAACTCCGACTTATACCGTCGCTCACACCGAACATCGAGCTGGCGAAGACATCTGGCACGCACAAATGGGACATCCAAGCAACACGGTGTTAAACAACACAATCAGAGCAGGCGCGCTCGACAAAGATTCACTGCTTCTAACCGACGGAAGCGAACTTGGACGAGCTCGTGGAACATGCTTTACCTGCCCCGAAGCTGACTTACCACATCGGCCATTCGCTTCTCACCACAACCCCAGCGCACTAGCTTACGCACCACTTGAGAAAGTGTACAGCAACATCCTGTACAATCGCGAACCTGGACAAGGAGCATACAACTATACCATCACGTTCATTGATGCTGCTACGCGTTAAGTTTGGCACCTTAACCTTCTGAGCAGGGACATGGCCTTCGAGGCCTTCGTCGCTTGGCTCCCAGTAGCAGAACGAGAATCGGGCGTGAAGCTAAAAAGCTTCCAGTCAGACGGAGGAGGAGAATACACCTCACAGAGGTTCAAGCAGTACTTGGCAGAAAGAGGAATCAAGAGGCTCATCTCTCTTCCATACGCTCACCAGCAGCAAGGCGTAGCAGAAAGGATGAACAGGACTCTCCAGAACACCATGCGCAAGCTGCTACGAGGCATGCGACTGCCCAACCACCAGTGGCCCGAAGCAATGGACCACACTGTCATGCTGCACAACTTGCTCTCGTCATCATCGCTCCCGAACAACGCATCACCGCACCTGCTGTGGACAGGAAAACACGGCAGCACAAAAATGTTAAGAGTTTTCGGCTGCATGGTACAGTACCGACCCCCATCTGCACGAGCCGGCCGATTTTCCCACCGCACACAGTGGGGACTACACCTAGGCATCGAAAGAAGTTACATCGCGTGGAAGATTTTTGACGTCCACTCCAAGGAAACAGTAGCAGCACGTGATGTCATTTTCTAGGAACGACTCACCTTTCCGACGTACCTTGCCAACCTGGAAGAAGATCGGGACCCCACAGGCGGCTTCCGTGGTGACCGAGCCTTCGCCTCGGCAGCAGACGAAGCTGACTGGGGCGAGCAGAACGTGGATGAAGCCTCAGAGGAAGCCGGACCTCTCCCTTACTGCTCCGTCAACGTCCCAATGGATGACGAAAATCCTCGCGAAAGCGCCAACGCCGAAGTATTTTACCACTTCGCTGACAACGGTTACGTTACACCTGCATAAGTCAACACCAACGAAGCAGAACGCATAGGGCCCAACTTCATACCTGACCCAGAAGCAGGTGACAAAGCAGCTTATCCCGCGGACATAACTCTCCCCCGCTACATACAGAGTGGCCTCCAGATACTCGGCCTCGTCACCGCGGTCCATGGCACGGAGATTCTGAAGGAGCCTGTCACAGTTCAGCAGGCTCTAGGGGGGGAGCATAAGGAAAAATGGCGCGAAGCCATGGACAAGGAGCTAAAAGCACAGGAAGAACGGAACACCTGGAAAGTTGTTCCGTTCGGCGTGGCACGAAATAAGACAGTACTCACCGGGAAATGGGTCTTCCGTGTGAAGACAAAGGCAGACGGCACCATCGACAAGTTTAAAGCGCGATGGGTTGTACGCGGCTTCGACCAAGAGTACGGACGCGACTTCACTGAGACATTCGCCCCGGTCAGCCGACACACCTCGCTGCGAATTCTCCTCGCAATCGCCGCCATGAAGAAGAAAAAGCTACGGCAAATTGACGTCGCCAATGCATTCCTCTACGCACCTGTCGACGCAGAAATTTTCGTCGAACTACCACATGGCTCCAACGGAAAACCTAATCACGTCTGTCAACTGTTGAAGTCACTCTACGGCATCAAACAAGCCCCGAGGCTGTGGCAACAGTACCTGCACGCAAGACTTATCCGCATAGGATTCCGCCAGCTACCTCACGACCAAGGGATGTATCGGCTTACAAAAGGCACCGACTACATCCTACTAATAGTCTACGTAGACGATCTACTCTACATCGGGTCGACCGACAACGTCACTACCTGGCTCGAAGTGGAGCTACAGAAAGATCTCACGCTCACAGTCTCATCTACCGTCACGCAGTACCTCGGCCTCAACATTCAGGAAGAAGATAACGCGATTTACCCCAACGCCGCGAAATACGCCGACACCATCGCCAAACGCTTCGCGCTCACACCAACTACCATCTCCACGCCATACCACTACACGGCAGGAAATCACAAGGAAGGCTCCACTCCACTCAAGCCTGCCGGGATACGCGACTACCAAAGGAAGCTTGGATGCCTTCTCTTCGAGGCTGTCACCTGCCGCCCGGACCTATCATACTCTGCAAGTCAACTCGCCACCTACCTTAAAAGGCCTGAAGCTGAACACATGGCGGAGCTCGACCGCGCTCTTCACTACCTCGTTAGCACTCCAACGATCGGCTTGACCTACTACAAGAACGGAACTACAACGCCTAAGTTAATCAGCTACGTCGACGCCGACCACGCCGGAGATTCTGACAACCGGCGCTCGCGCACAGGCTACATCTACCGCCTCGAGCCTATCGGAACTATCTCGTGGCAGTCGAGTAAGCAGGAATTAATCGCTCTCTCCTCAGTTGAAGCTGAATATATCGCACTCTGCTCAGCCACCAAGGAAGGATTGTACCTTCGCGAACTCTTGGAGGAAGCGAAGCTGGCTCAGTTACCCAGCTTCACTCTGTTCTGCGACAACCAGTCGGCAATTCGCATAGCCAACAAAAACGGATTCGCGAACAGGACGAAGCATATTGCCCTGCGATATTTCTTCGTGAAAGACGAGATCGAGAAGGGGAGACTCGAATTATCCTACTGCCCCACGACCGAGATGGCAGCTGATTACTTGACCAAGAAGCTCGGAAAGCAGAAGTTTGAGTACTGCATGCTGCTGACTGGACAGAGCCATGTCACCGGCAGCGACACTCTAGAAGCGAAGGGGGGTGTTGGAAACAAGTAACTTAAGCACCTCTGTCATGTCGAAACACCAAGTCAGAAGCGAAGCGAAACATATCAAA